TCGATTGATTCACTTCCTCGATCATCAGTTCCAGCGCACCACCACCAGCGGAGCATGTCAGTTGCAGCAAACGGGCGTACGGCTCGCTGCGTTTAGTTTGTAAACGTACGATGGGTGTCCAGCTGGTCGTACATTACACACCGCATGACGTACACGTACTATTTTCACGTAAAAAATGTGCAAGGAAACTGAGTGGCCATTTATCGGCTACCTCAATGAACCATGAAAGATTACTACAGGAAACGCAGTTATTGCGAAAACGCTATATATATATATATATATATATATATATATATATATATATATATATATATATATATATATATATATATATATATATATATATATATAGAGAGAGAGAGAGAGAGAGAGAGAGAGAGAAGAGTTACGCGTGTACATGTCCACACAAGCTATGAGTTTCCTGAGCGGCGACATGAAACTGGTGTGTAACTAACCTGGATATTTATTATTATGAACGATGGCTTTCCTGCAACACGTTCTACACCATCCGCACGAGACCACCTTGCGTACTCTTACGAAGAGCTTCATATAATTATTGAGTACCCGTGTGCTCATATTAAGCCCGTGTACTCAGATTTGGGTGCTCGTTAAAAAACCTCAGGTGGTCGAACTTTCCGGAGCCCTCCACTACAGCATCTCTCATAAAGATATCGTGGTTTTGGGAAGTTAAACACCACATATTAATCACTTATTTAAACTAACAACCTATAAAATAAATAAAAGCAGGAAAATAAAAAGAAAAACTTTGTGCGATTCGCGGACGCCGTAAGCGTCACTCTTCACGAAATTTCGTCTTACCGAACCAAGATGGCGTATACTTAAGAGCAGCATAGTCGTAAACAAGGCGTCAGCGTCTCGATCAACGCTGCGATTCGAGCTTTTTTCCTTTACTAACACTTTATATGCGAAATTTCATAAAATGGTCCTTATCTTTAAAAAAAGCGTACTTGCAAAACAATTAGCTATACTGGTTAAGGGAAATTAGGCGCGTAAAAATAGCTTCTCAGAACAGTACCCACAGAGATCTGTGGCGCCACTACTCACGCGATATTCCTAAATGATGCTGTGTTTTCACGGCTATGGTGCTATGTGTGCCTGTGAGCATCGCGTTGGCTGGGGTTGAGATAGGGTCGGTCCGAAACATGTATGCGGCCACGGAACACAAAGCTGCCTTTAAAAGAACATGTGTTGGATTGCGTATTTTATCGCTCTTGGGCAAAACAATCGACCACATTCATACTATCATCAGGTGATAGATAAACGCTCAGAATACGCCCAACAACTATACATAGCCTTCATATAATATGAGAAGGCACTTGATTCGGTAAAGATATCAGCAGTCAAGCAGACACTGCGAAATCAGGGTGTCAACGAGGCAATATCAACATCCTGGAAGAAATCTACAGCGAATCTACAGCCACCATAGTGCTCCACAAAGAAAGGGACAGAATACCGATAAAGAAGGGTGTAAGCCAAGGGGATACGATCTCCGCAATGATATTTATACGAGTCAATAGAGAGTACCTTAGTAACCTACGCTTCGCCTTTGACATTGCATTTTCGAGTAACTCAAGGGACGAATTGCAATTTTTGATTACCGAATTAGACAACGAAAGAAGAATGGTGGGTCTTAAAATTAATCTGCAGAAAAACGAAAGTATTGTACAACCACCACGGAAGAAAATATGCTTCGAGATGAATAGCAGTGCACTTGAAGTTGTGAAAGATTACGTCTGCTTAGGAGGCAGTAACCACTTGCAGAGCCGAACCACGAGAGTGAAGTAACTAGAAGAATAAGAACGGGGTGAAGCATATTCGGCAAGCATTCTCAAATCACGAATGGTAGATTGCCACTATCCCTCAAGAGGAAGGTATATACGAGCCGCATCTCACCGGTACTTAACATCGGAGCAGAAACCTGGAGGATTGGAAAGATGGCCCAACTGTTGTTAACAACTGTTGTTAAGGGTATCATAGTCGAAATCAAGAAGAAGAAATGGTCACGGGTCGGGCACGTGGCGTGAAGCCAAGATAACCGCTGGTCATTGAGGATCGCCGACTAAATTTCAAGAGAATTGGCAAGCGGGTTAGGGGGAGACATTAAGTTTGGCGGGTAGATGAGATTAAGTCTGCAAGTGTAAATTGGCAATGGCGAGCACAGGACCAAGTTGACTGGCGGAACATGGGAGAAGCATTTGTCCTGCAGTGGGCGTAGTGAGACTGATGATGATGATGATGGTGGTGGAGATGATGATGATTATGATGATATATAGGAATAAAACTTAGTAGAGGCTTAGCTCGGCTATGCCAGGATATACGTAGCTTGAGCTACTGACAAACAAACGGGCAGCAAGTGACCTCACGCAAGTAAAGCGTCATCCCACTATTGATGTGTCACTACAGGAGCTTGCAGGCCTTCTCCGGCACGCCAGCTGTGCGCCGTGTGACGTCATTACTTTCCGGGCACGCGCAACACGACTCTCAATAAGCCACGTGACTTCGCTCATCCTTAGCCAGTGCAGCGCTCGCCGCGATAACTTCATTGTTGAAAGGTCACACTTCTGTCTGTTCAACACTTCATCTTACTACACGTTCTTTATCTGTTCTATGCCGCATGCCACTTAACAAGGCAGTTTATAGAGATCTCTTTCACCTGTATTACGTGCTCGAATGAAGTTTGCTCTGCTGAGGCCCGCATAATTTGGCCTTGAATAATGAAAGGAAAAAGAGAAGGTTCCTTAATAAAAGATTCGATCCCTTAAGAAGAGCTGATTCCTTTAGAGCTGATTCTAATTGTTTTAAGTTTTCCTTTTTCCGCGGACCGTGAATCTATGGAATGAGATTGAGGAATCGTGCGCAGACTCGACGCTCAGCGATTTTTCTGCAAAAAGAGTTACGTAATCATGCATTTTGCTAAATGTATTTTTTCCTGTGTATAACATTTGTATTCAGTCCTGCTAGGTCATTTGTATTCAGTCCTGCTAGGTATAATAATTGAGACAGCCGAATTCGTAAATAAATAAAATATAAAAGGCAGAGTATTTAGCCGGCGTGTGTATATCGCTGACTTGCTACTCTGCGCGAGGAAGGGAATTGGTGACTGAAAAAGAGAGAGAGAGCAAAACTTATTGAAAATTAAAAACGGAAATAACGATATATATATATATATATATATATATATATATATATATATATATATATATATATATATATATATATATATATATATATATATATATATATACAGACAATTTTTTTTGCATTTTGGGTGGGCACATCTGCTGACAGGATGACTTATGAGAGGAGCCGATGACAAACTGACAACTGACCTCGTCGATCATGCCTCTGACCATCAATGTTATCGACAATACTGACCAGCCAAGCAACGATAAATTAGAGCCCCCCTCCAAGGCGAGGAAATTGGCAATTCGTCAACGACGGGCGCACTTCTCGTATGCATAAACTTCCTGATTACACAATAGACTAACTCGATCGCCGACCCTTTCTAAAAGCTACGACAAATGACTCGAATTATGACAAGCAGTGCATCGTTAGCGACAAAACTAAACGATCCTCATAGTCTACAGCATTCATGGCTATAGTAAGTGATCCGCCAGACAATTTTTTGGCGCTAAGCAACAAAAATACCGAAACTATGGTGTTGAGCACGAGGTCTAGTTGAAAGATTATCCACTCTTTATCTCATGAAAATAACTGAATAGAACAGGAAGAGAAAAGAAGCAATAAGACTGTCAGCCTCCTGATGAGGTCAATCGGCGGACCATCCATCCCTGAAATTTGTTGGTGCCGGCATCCAGCCCGAGTCCAGGACCAATTTTTCTACAATAGCAGCCATGAGGCGCTCTAACTTAGTGTCATTTCGTGTATGTATTCCAACTTCGTGTAAGACGTATTTCTTCCTAACTTCACGATGCAAATAGGAGTCAACATTTTTCGTTTCAAGCACCTCTTTCCACCTTGTGGACATCACGGAAGCTGGTTTGCTTTAAACACAGTAATAACGTTCCGACACAGCAGGTCGCGGGATCGAATCGCGGCTCCAGCGAATGCATTTGCGATGGAGGCGGAGAAGTGTTGTAGGCCCGTGGGCTCACATTTGGGTGCACGTTAAAGAACCCCAGGTGGTCGAAATTTCCGGAACCCTCCACTACGGCGTCTCTCATAATCATATGGTGGTTTTTGGACGTTAAACCACACATTAATATAAAAAAAACGTCCTGACAGTTTCGCCATATTGAAGCCCGAGGAGCGGTTTCCCAAGATGCATCACTGACAGAAACAAATCCGAGAACGAGCCACAACATAAACAATATTGCTATTGTTACGTTAGATGCAAGAAAGAAGCGCACTATTCCAAGGTACACGCGTTAACACGATACCTTTGGTCGACCACCGAAACGCAGCATGCGGCAACCATCGTCGAGTCGAATAGCACCAGATATTCGACAGACACTGCAGCCGGCCCCGGCATCAGCTTCTCAGTTTCGGTCGCCGCGCTTGCCTTAGTATGGTTGACTGGCTCCGATCGGTGATAACGGTGCGATAGCGCTATAGCATCGACTATCTGCGTGGTGACCAATCGCAGCAGAGCTTCGTCACAGCCGAGCGTGCTTCAGTTATACTTAATCGCCGATGCAATAAAGTAAAGCCGCCTGATAAGGAGGAGTAAAGGCAGTAAAGGCGGCTCAGTTCTTTGCATTGCTGTTTGGTTTTCCGGTGCTTTCCGTTCTCGCCTTGTGTCTCGTCACCGAGACATCAGAGGATCTGGACTCGGGACCTTTTGAACAACAGGGAACGGCACGAGGCAGAGAAGAAGGCTCCACAGTTTCGTAAGACCAGTGAACGTGAAGACATGGTGCTTCGCGCGCAGTTTCGCGCCCCTGTGACTATCACGAGCGCGTTCACGCGCTTTACTTCTCTCGCGTTGGCAGTCAGCCCTGCTACTCGTGATTATGATCATGACGGTGCAATTCCTCATGGAGCCCAATCAAGTTCCGTCATTGTGTCCTTGCCATGAAGATACCTTTGCCCAGCAGGTATGTGCAGCTTTCATGGTGGTCTAGTGGTTATGGTATAGACTGCTGGCCCAAAGGTCACGAGATTGAATCCCGGCCGTGACGGTCGCATTGTCCAAGGAGGCACAAATGCTGGAGGTCCATATACTTAGATTAAGGTACATGTAAAAAAGCTCCAAAAGGTCGAAATTGCTGAGCCCTTCACTACAACGACCCCATCGTTATATAGTAGTTTGGGGATGTTAAATCCAAGTAATTATTAATGACGTGCAGCTTCTGTCACTGTTCAGTCTCTGATGTTCAGTCTCTTTGCGCACAATTCGTGCTATAGAGTACGGGAATGTACTACGGTACAAAATACAGCGACAATTACCAAGAGCTAGTGAGCTAGTTAGTACCTACGACCGCGACTGCAGGCTCAAATGCTGGAAGACACAGTCGGCACCCAGGGTATGCGGTGTGGATTGATGGATCGGTGTGGATCGATGTCTGTGTGGACAAGGGTTGGTGTGAATTGATGTCTATTTGTCGTTCTTGAGCTCGGATCGCATAAGAATTGTTGAAATTTTACCTCCCCAAACCACCACATAAAGATAAGGTATGCAATAGTAGACGTCTCCAGAAATGTTAATCACCTGGTGTTCTTTAACGTGCCCCTTAATCTAAGTACGCGTGTCTCTACCCCAGGTGGTCGAAATTTCCGGAGCCCTCCACTACGGCGTCTCTCATAATCATCAGTGGTTTTGGGACGTTAAACCCCACATATCAATCAATCAAAACGCGTGTCTTTAGCACATGGCCTGCATCGAATCGCGGCAGCTGCGACAGGGATTCCATCCCTAGACATTCGGGGCTGCAGCAGAGCACCGAGCTAGAAACTACATTTCATGTACATCAACGGCCGCTTTCCGGCATGGGTTAGACTGATAAAGATGAAATGAAAGTTTACGGGGCACGTGCTACAGAAAGCGAAAAAAGAATGGATGACGAAACCTAGCCAGATGAGTCAGGGGAAGATAATTTTCGACGCAAAATGAGTCAGCTAATTTTTGTCGTCGCACAAGAAGATGCCTGTATAAGCAGATATGCGACTTAATCACGGTTCGTGCCGTGCCGAGCCGATTAGATAACTACGTTACGCTGCTTATCAAGGCCATGTCACCACCTTCAAAAACTCCTTCAGCGGCCGTGTGTACGATTGTGCACAGCAACTTGGGAGGCGCATAACGCGTTGCCTGGTTTTTTTTTTTTTTTGGTTTCTTTAAGGCTTGAAACACAGTGTGCGTGTACCTGCTTCCATAGTGGATAACTAGGGGTCATTAAACTTTATTGTGCTGCCCCTCGCACTAGAAGATCACTTCGCTGAAGACACTACCATGTTCGACGATCGTTCGACGTGCTGCGTCTCGGGACCAACGTCAAGATTATTTTTAATTAGCTCGAAACAAATACAACCAATAGAGAGAGAGCGAGAGAGAGAGATTAAAATGAAGGAAAGGCAGAGAGGTTAACCAGAAATTGGAGCATCCGGTTAGCTACCCTGCATTAAGAGAAAAGGGAATGGCCCGGAAAGAAAGATGAGACAGAAAGCGAAGAGCGAAACATACACGCAAAAAAGAAAAGGAGATCAATAGGTCACTACCACGCAAAAAGTCCAATAAGGCCTTCGTTGATTTTCTGTGCGAAGACAGATAATGTCGGCTTTCGAGCACTGACTATTCTGACAAGAGTCGATCGTCAAGGCGGGCTGCCTTTGTACGCTGTAACGACGGCAGTGACAGAGAACGTGCTCTATCGTTTCATCGCTGCAGCAATGATCGAAAGCAGCACATACAACCAAAAAACAAAAACAAATTGTGCATACCTTTTGGGCATAATATTTTATTTCTTTTAAGCAATTGATTGAAGCTGTATGATTGAAGAATCATTAGATATTTCATTACACTCATTCCCTTTTTTTTTTCTTGGAATGTATTATTGAATACCTCGGATTCATACTATGCGAATTTGACGCATTTGCAGAGAGTTCACCACAATTCGCGCCTGAAGGAGATAATATACTGGATTAATGTGCAAAACACGAACTGATAAGGAGCGCGCCATAGAGCTTGTTACTAAACGAACACTCGTGGCGAAGCCCCGCCGCGGTGGTCTAGTGGCTAAGGTACCCGGCTGCTGACCCGCAGGGCGCGGGTTCGAATCCCGGCTGCGGTGGCTGCATTTCCGATGGAGGCGGAAATGTTGTAGGCCCGTGTGCTCAGATTTGGATGCACGTTAAAGAACCCCAGGTGGTCTAAATTTCCGGAGTCCTCCACTACGGCGTCTCTCATAATCATATAGTGGTTTTGGGACGTTAAACCCCACATATCAATCAAATCAACACTCGTGGCGAAGTTCCTGCAGACACAAGAGGGTGTTATCAGACGATTGAATGAGTGAACAACTTTATTCAGTTGCTGCAGGTTACCGGGGCTGGGTTCCCACCTAGGAGTCGGCCGAGAGACAATCTCTCTCAGCAGCTTCCTCAGCCTGCTGGATCACCCAGAGTTGGTTATTTAATCCTAAGCTGAGTCCATAGCGCGGTCCTCTGACGCTCCCGAATGTCCTCATTGGAGCCCGCATCTGTGACTTTACCAATTAGTGCTGGACATTTCCGCAGAATGTACGCTAGCGTGACCCTATTACGACAATATACTCGCACGAGTTGGTGATATGACTAATAATGATATCTGCGGTTTTACACGCCAGGTTTTAAACGATATCCATATGAGACACAATTCAGTGGAGACCTCCTCAAGTTTCAACCATCTGTAGTTCTTCGACGTGCCCAGACATTCCACAGCACACGGACCTCAAGCATTTCTCGTCCATCGAATTGCGAGCAGCGCTGCAGGCAGCTGTACGATATTTCAACTAACTGTGTCATTCAGAAAGCTTTCTCCGTATCTTATATGCGGATTCGATAACCCGTCCGATAATGGTCTACAAAATGATCGAAACCTGGGCGCCAATTTCAAGTTTTGTTTAAAGGTTAAGTATCAACACATGGTTACCGCGCACAAGATGCCTCAAAAAGGAAAATCTTTGAAATCAGTCACGCCGGTGTAGCTCATGAACATGATTATTGTCTCTTTTTTTTTATATGAAACAAAGAGACTCCCGCGCGAGCCGCTAGTGTGAGTACGATGAGCCAGGTGTTTGAAATCCCGTCTTCAAAGTATGCGCACTCTTTAGCGCATATCGTCTTCTTAAGTCATACGTATCTATAGAAAGAAATCTTGCACAGAAACATCGTAACTATAGAAGAAAAAGATTCTCGAAACAGTGCATTGAGAACATTCTTTGTTACTGCTCTTATCTCTGTACTCCTGTTCCTAATTTTAAATGTGAAGTATTTTTTTCCGCACTGCAAGCCCTTTCAGCATCTATCTATCTATCCGCCTATACGTCTGGTTCTCTCATAATCACCCCCTTAACTTGGGGTACACCAAAATTAGCACGGGAGAATAAAATGGTTTAACTAAATCGACGCGCTGGTCATGACATTCATGTCACAATCTCTTCGCGTACGTCATCAAATACTTTAAAAAAAACTGAGGCACACACCCGGGGGCCGGTATGTGCCACTGGTGATAGACATTCTATATCTACGTAGAAACGGCCAGAACACTCATGGGTGATTTTAACTCTTGAGCGTTAAAAAAAAAGCTGGCATGGGCAGTGTTGACCGCACGAATGCAGTAAGTAAACGTCATTTTCCCAAAAAGACTCGAACCCTAGCATTCTGCTTTACAATCAGATATTCTACCATAGAGCCAAGCAAGGTCTCGGAACCACATTTCAAATAGACCTTAATGTTCGTGAAACGTCCATTCTGGTTGCAGTACTGGCTATCAAATTTTAACGGGATTGCGTTAAAGAGCTCGTTTCACAGAAATTCCGGCGTCGGTGTCGACATCGGCGTCGTTGGATGAGAGCGAAAAAATCAGCCATTTTCGCGCGACCGAAAAAAATCGAGAAAGGTTCAAATAAAATATTTAATGAGAAATTCCGGGTCTTTGTGGAGTTTGAATCTATAGGTCGTTTGCGTGGCAAGCTGTTGTTCGTCCACACAGCCACACCTGCTTTTCTTTATCTCTGTTTAAACTTCGAGCACGGGAGGACGAGGTAAACATATTACAATACACATCCAACATTGCAGAACAATTACCACGACCGCAGAGCACTACTAAACACATCACGCTTTAAAACGCCTATAGGGCTTCCATTTCCTTTCTAACTTTGAAGGAACACATTCATTCTTTTTTATTACCTCCATGGTATGTTTTTTTTTACTACTGCCTTGCCGGTATCCCGTCAGTTTACACGGCCACACCTCTGCTTGTCAAAACAGAGAAAATACCTTTCTTTGCTTAGACATGCAGTAAAGTCACTTTCATGCTTCAGCAAACACACGCGTCTTGTATACGTGCTTCACAATACAGCATGAAATATTGCCGTAATAATGCGCGGCGTAAGCGTACATTGCCATCTGGCGTGAGAAGTTGGGATTATAATAATTACTTCATCGTTGAAAGCCAGTCATCCGCTACAAAAGGCACACACGCTACTGCACCCGTAGTGGGGCATGGCAATTTCGAAAATATTTCATACACTAAGGGTTTGAAGTACCCACTAGGAACAGAATATCGCTATTGCGTTCAACTCTCAAAGGCAAAGCTTAAGGGTCCCTCTTTTTTTTATGTATTACATATGTATTACTGTGATACAGCCGTCATGTCGAGTTAACTTCAATTATAGACAGGCGCCACTCGCTAAGGTTGGTTTGTGTAGCAGTGTTTAGAGCCACAATCCTTGTGATTCGCAGCGCAAGCACCTGCGCTTGATATTAGCTTACCGCTGCTGGTGTTGCTAATATAAATGTGTCTGTTTGGATCGTTACGCAACCGAAAAACAACTGCTAATATAAAACATATGTGGCTGTTTAACGTATGTGTGTGTGTGTGTGTGGATTTTAAAATGTATTGAGCACCCTCTTCATAACGTTTCGCTCAATAAAAAAAATTTAAACGATTCACCTCCCATCTGCATGCTTCGCATAACATCGATTCCCAAGGTACGTCGGATCTGCCAAATTTTTTACTCATTCTTGCATATTTTAAGGGAATGTTGACAATGTGATCAACAATGATTGAGTGACGATATGTCTCAGGCTGCAGCTTGCGTTTATTTATTTTTTTTTATTTATTTATTTATTTATTTATTTATTTATTTATTTATTTATCATAGTACCCACAGTGCCCGAGGGCATTGCAATGGAGGGTTGGGATAGAGAATACAATATTTCAATACAGAACACATGTTCTCGCTAGTGTTGGAAAGGTAAGTTTTTCTCTCCAAGTTTTTGCTATAACATTGACGAAATTGCTGTCCGGCCAAAGCTCGTTTATGAATTTAGATGATGCGCTCTTTTCTCGTATTCTCCACAGGTTGGCATCGAACAGGCCACGGCGAACGGCATCGTGTCGCGTTCTATGAGAATTCGAAGCGTATGCCAGCGCTATGCGTCCTGCGAGGAGCTACACAGGCCAACCAATGGCTTGGGCATCAACCTACCGACGCCCGGGAACAAGAGCACGTACTGCGTTCCAGAGCAGTGCCCCATCTTCATCGACAGAGCACGATCATTCGCCTTCTGCTTCATATCAAAGGTGCGTAGTACTGCGGTTCGCCTAGGACCACGGCTGTGGCTACACGGTAGAACGTCTGTTTTCCATGCGGTAGTTGCTGGGTTAGATTCCCAGTGCCGACTAGAAACCCACCACTTTTTGCTAAATAGACAAAAGAAGTACGTCCATCTGACACGAATGTTTTCGGGTGCTCATATCGAAAGGTGGTTCCATAAGGTTCTGCGAGGCCCTTGGGCGCACCTCAACCAACCACAGCCTTCACGTAAAAGTCGAGCATACGCTGCTGATATGGGAGGCAGAGAATTTCTGCCACCGGGTGCCTACCGATAACTGGCCGCAGGCGCACTTCTGGCCTGGTTCTCGGCAGAACGAAGTACATGGTCGCCTGGTATGTCCCCCACCTTGTGAGAAATACGTGGCGTAAAACCACCAGACCTAAATTTATAGCCAACCTCTTCCGAATGTTTTCGAATGTAGCTGCAGCTGTGGCGAGTCTAAAGTATATTGATGGTGGTTCAGTACTCGGTTGCTTGTGAACCGGTAGGTGTTCATAAGCGAAGACTCATGGATGGTGTCCTAGTGTGCTTTTCAAAAAAGAGAAGCTTCGATTTTTGATTACTGTGCTTGGTAGTGCTGCTACTGATGTCCAACCAAACACGACACACTTAAAGAAACAGTTCAGCAGACTGAACGCGATCGTATGTAGCTTTCGAAACGTAATTTCCCGTGGACTACATTTCAGAACATGCACCTCCGGTTTATTAAGTTAATATATTTCTTCCCTCTGTATTCTAACATGATTCAGTTTTCATTCCCGATTTGCAATTTTCTTCTAGTTCAGACTCTAATTGAGGTAACAGCCTAACTAAAAATGTTCTTTGAAGAAGCTTCGTTAGACATCATCTTCTACAATGCTGACGTCATATAAGTTCACTTACGTCACAAAAATAAAATGGAGGAGGCCCCGGGAAGAGATAGGCGTCGTGCGCGGCACATCTTCGCGTTGGGTGATACACGAAGATACAAAGAAGTTTACTTGAGTGTAGATGGCAACAAAGCGTGTTGTAACTGCAACATATGTTTTACAGCAAAAGCTTTTATCAGATCACAACACAGTTCACGTGCCTGCTGTAGTTGTCCGCCGTCGCCGCCGGTGTCCGTAACCAATATCGCACGAAATAAGAAAAAAAAAATTGGTAAACAAAAAACACCAAAGACACAATGAGATTCAAACCCAGGTCCCCTGCGTGCCAGTCCAATATTCCACCAATAAGCCGAGCTGGTGTTTGAAACTCCTTTGCAAACTGGCCTTTGCAGGCTTGATGTCGGGAAAGGATTCGAGTTAATGTGAGTAATAAAGCGTTTCAGTACAGCAAAGGAACAATCAGGTGTCACATAATGCGAACTGCGCAAAGAGTGGGTCGTCGAATGCTCTAACCGTTTACAAAATCTCGATTTTGTTCATATATTAACTGTGTCACATATCCACTATGAGAAATTGTGGGGATTACAAAAGCTTGCGCCATAATTCTTTATCGTCGTCAAGCACAGCACAAAAAAATTGCACAAAGTTCCTTGCAAGTCTGCAACAGGTATCAAGCTTCTCCAAAGAATGACGACGGATGGCATAGTGAATGCCTACTTACTATACAGTGACTTACTACTATACAGTACCATGCAAGTGTGCGTGATAGTAAACCTAAAGAGCATTTAAAAAAAGATCTGAAAGGCCGCTCTTCCCGCTTTCGCTGTGACAGGCCTTGCGTTTTTTTCCTATTAGGTTCAAGCAGATATTAAGTAAATTCTGCAACTGCCGCAGCAGATTCCTCATGACCTCAAGAGACGTGGCTAATTCACTCTTTCGCATGTCATGCAGGTGGCTTCTACTAGCATGAAGACTCTCTTTCGCGACCTGCTAAGCATAAAGGCCAACACTTCCAATGACAGCATGACAACCTGGGACAAGCTACACCGAGCCTTCCACCGTCAGACTTACCGGGTTGGTCCACGCACTCTGTTCATGCAGAACGGTGGGAGAAGCTACTTCAAGGCCCTCTTCGTACGGCACCCGTTTGACAGGCTCGTCTCGGCGTACATCGACAAGGCACTCAGGCACGTCTCTCTCAAAATGGCAATTAATACTCATGTATATTGTGGCTGTGGCATCCCTGTGACTGGGATATCGCTGCGGTCACTCAGAATGCTAAGTTTATTGTTGTTGATTTAGTTTAGAAAGTTTGCGCTTTGGCATAACCGATCAGGTATACAAATTGAGGCTTGTGCGATGAGGAGAAGTGGCAACGGGGCCCGGGCTCGGCTAGCGCGAGGACAGAGCTGGCAAATGAAGAGTTAGGGCGACATTATCTATATCTTTTTATTTCCTTTTTTGTAAGCATTAGTGCAGTTACTGTCCATAGAATAAGCATACTATAAGCTTTCTTGGCCAATCTCCCAGAGTGGGTATATGCCACGGATTCCACGCTACAAACAAAGAGCTGGGCAAAGGTTCGGGCATTGCCTCTGTTACGGTCATTACAATGACGCAGTTGACAGGACACATAAGTAGGAATTGATGGTCGGGCTCATAAACAAATAATTGTATCCAGGTAGTATCGTAGGATGAATATCCCAAATTCGAATATAGTATCATTAGATCTGGTGTACGTGTGAGCAAATTGTAGACAGGTATCCTCAAACATTGCGTGAAGAGCTTCTAGCCAGGTGTATGTTACCTATGAAGGGAGTGCACCTTCTCGACCACCAAATTAAGTTCTTGACAGCACCTTTATTTGATGCCGTAAAATAAACTTAGAATCACTGTTGTGGGTTATGGGAACAACCTATGGTAGTTTACGGGAAGAAACAGCGCTAAAGACGAGACAGTCAAAGCTTGACTTGTGCTTTAGGGCCTTGTCCGTCGTGCTCTCATTGTCCCATTCTTAGCGATGTTTGTGACCTACCTGGGAATCACTCAGTTTTTTCAGAACCAGCCCCGCAGTCAATTTCAGTGGGTGAACTGCCGACATAATGCTAGCTTGAAACAACCCCTCCACCCAACACAAAGGCACACGAACACGCACGCACACAAACACATACGCACACGCACACGCACACAAACACACACACACATGAACCACAAACACTGAAAACAGGGAAATACACCCCTAATGCATTTCGACCTGCTGCTTCCTGGGAACCCAATCCGTTTATTGCTTGCACTCACACGCCAAATTGATGAAGTTTTTTTGTGTGATTTTTTTAACAAGTTGGCTCTTTTTCAATAAATACTTTTGTTCATTTCCCGTCTTCATTTGTGTCAGATTGGCTTGAGCCATCATACCTTCTGGAGGTGCGGGACCTACCCATTTGCTTTTTAGTTATTTTCATATATAGGGGCCAAAAATCACACACACACGCACACACGCACACGCACACGCACACACACGCACACGCACACACACACACACACGCACACACAGAGAGAGAGAGAGAGAGAGAGAGACAACATTCACGCTGATGTCTGTAAGTATAAGACACATAAAGATGCATATTTCGCAAGTCAATTCAGCAAAGTTTACGACACAACAATGGCAACGAGCCGTCACGTTGAAAAACCGCGCCATACTCGAACGAATTGTCAGATGTGGATATGCATGACCTTTTCTTGCAGGCCCCGTTCAGAGGTGAAATGGTTCTACGAAGTGTACTGGGAGAAGATACCGGGAGTCAAAGCCGAGAACCGCACGCCGACTTTCTCCGAGTTCGTCGACTTCATACTCGGCACGCCCGTTCGCGAATGGGACGAACACTGGTCGCCGTACTACTCGCGCTGCCAGCCCTGCCTGCTGGACTACGACTTCGTCGGCAAACTGGAGACGGCCGACAGGGACTTCGCGCTACTGTTCTCCGAGATCGGCATCGACGGAACACGCTTCGGCCGCGTTCACGTGAGCCGCAGAAGCAGCACCGGTTGTTCATTAGGAGCCAACTGCACTAGCCACAATGACGGGTCTACGGCGGACTACTTCGCGACTCTCTCGCACGACCAAATCGTGAGACTTTACTCGCGATATTTCTATGACTTTGAGCTTTTCGGCTATGACTTCAGGAGCTACCTCACGTGTGGAGGAGCTCATCGCAAGTAACACTGAGTGAAATAGCTGGTAATGTTAACATTGCAGGCTAAAAAATTACTCATTGCCCAACTCTAAGCAAGATCCCAGAGACAATGTTCGCAGGTTATCGGAAGGTGAAGAGGGCTCATGTGTGACAGCGCGCAGTCAGCGACGTGTTCATATGTTTCATATTGTACAGGCATTTCAGTGAAGAAGGTACAGAACACAATAATGACATGGAAGCTAACGGAGAGCTACTCAAAGCGAGCCTTAGGAAACAGGCAGAGTAAGAAAAATATCTGCTAGAAGTGAGAGTTGGGTTAATTGGCACGTGGCACTGACTAGATGCATACCTAATTCGTGCAAGATAGAAGGGAGGACAAGCCGAAGGGAACATCCATGCGTCCTGTTTTTCACCTTCGCTTTGTCCTTAGTTCTTTTATGATATATTAAAACGTGTCTCAAGTAAACCGCGCAGACAGACAGATGAGAAGAGACTTCTTTTTAAGTCGGTGATTTCACGCCTTACTTTTTTAACGGTAAAACCTACCCAGTAGCTCAACTTTCGTTATACCTATTGAAAATTGTTGCAGCGAGGAGACGTAACCATTAGTTTAAGCGTATGCGTGTCACTGATTTGCCTCGTGATGGTAGAGGGAACTACAACAACGATCTCTAAACTTTACGCTTTTGTGACGTCCGACACCCTTGAATCAGGGTCTCGAGTTTGAATTAGTTTGCTGCCAAGCAGACTTGGGATGCAGAGAGAGAATTCTTAACAGTGAGAGTCCTTGAAACTTCTGAATTGCGTAGTTAAGGAAGTGAGTGACAGTTAACTGAATGTGCTGTTTCTCAGGTTGAAGTAAAAACAACTGGTCAAGCTTCAAACACTCAAGGAAATTCAGTAATTTAATTTTTTTTTGTGATAAGCATGGCCAAGATGCTTAATGCACGATTTGTTTTTCAATTGTGTTCTCGTCGATAACGAAACTCGCTTATCCGGCATTTAAAAGCATTTTCATCTAGCTTTTGTACCCTCTATTATTATGGAACTGTCACGATAACGAAAGTGCAAACAATATACGAATAATGCTAAGCCTAAGACAGCACTTGAATGATCGGTGCCTCAACTAAATACTCATCCAAACGTTTGCTTTTGCTGAAACAGTGAGAATGTCGTTGCAGCTCAGTTAAGTAAGACTCAGCGCAATGAAGTGTGTGTAATGTAAGACGTGGTGGTTGAATAAAGAACTCAACCGATCATTTGTGTCCTGAGTTACATGAACATTTTTTTACCATAATGTCTTTGTTTATTGTGGCAGCATTCATGCTATTGACCAGAAATCGGTGAGTGGCCTTGGGCGAAATTCAAAACAATGACGATGCATGGATGCCTAAATTTATTAAAAAATCATGAAGCATGCGTTCCAGCGCGATAGCAAATTTTTACCTTTGTACGAATGTGCTGAAGGATGAAAAAAAAACTGGCATAATATAAAATTGCTGTTTGGAAGCTATTATCAGCAGTCGAACGAAAAATCAAACATGGAAGTGCGATGCTGTATTGTTGGTGTTTGACGATCATGCTCACACGACGATGCAGAAAGACAAAAAGGTAATGATGATGATGATGGTGACGATGATGATGATGACGGTGTTGGTGGTGATGACTTTAAATCATGCACTCGATGGTAAAGATAGGGTGAAAGTAAGTCGAACGTCGATATAATTAACACAATACCTAGGGAGTGGAATTATCGAAACAAGTTGGGGTTGGCGCGTACTACAAACTAAGCTCTACAAGTTCAACAAAAAAAAAATCCGAAGATTGCCTCATTCAGCACATGAAGCACGTATTGTCTTCCGCGAATATCTCCACAAACCTTGTAGTAGCTTGAAAAATGCACGAAGCTCCATAACACGCAGCAGAATAAAATGCCATCTATCCGGGCATAACACAAAGCGACAAAAAAAAAAACAAATAAGGGCTTCAAAAAAAAAACAAAGGCAGTTTGCTCTCATCCTCATGTCCTCTTTAGAAGCGTACTTAAACACGCTTTGAGAAAGCCGATCGCTATTCTAATGCACACAACGCCTCTTTTCCAAACGTTGGTTTCAGACGCATTCACTGTTCAAGTACAATTTCTTATTACTTCAAACCTCCATGTCCTCCCTGAACTTCCGTACTGTAAGAATTCAAAGCCTTCATTAGAAGATCTGTGACAGTTAGGCAGACAAAATGTTTTCTTTTCTTAAGGCTCGATCAGTTAATGTCTGTAAAGTTACTGGGTTCAACGCGAAACCACCGATGTCAAACAGAGTGATCTATTAACTAACAGTTGCCCAAAAACAAAAAAAAAGGAATGCCTCTGGCAGAACAAGCAAGCGTTTTGACAATGCGAACATCTTGATCGAGCAAGAACCAGCCGTTTTGTCGAAGCACTAGCTTCATGCTGAACCTTGCCTCGTGGTATGTTCAATTTTACATCTTCCTACAAACGCTATGTCTCAATTAATGATAGAAAGTTTATATAGGTAGACAGACCACCAAACCATAGCAGGAGCCCAAACTAACAGAAAGGCCATATTGACAAAGAGTGACAACAGGACACCACCAAATCTTGCACTAAGTCTCACCGGGATGACGTGGAGCGATTGGCGTAAGTAATGTTGCGTACAAATTTTTTCTCAGCTGAGCGGCCAGTGACTTCCGCGAAACTTCTCTTTAACGTGGACTAGGTTTGTATATCACCCTCATGAGTACGGAACCAAACGTTTGCAACGTCGTCAAATTGTAACGTATTTGCCTCTCGTCATCCCATCTCACAAAAGTGTAGTAACAAATTCGTAGGACAATATGCAGATATGGCAGCCGGCCAGTCAGCCAGTCAATAAATCAATCAATCAATCAGTCGGACGGTCAATTGTCCAGCCGGTCAATCAATAAATAAATAATTACGTCAGCCTAATGCCTAGTTCACACTGAAACATCCGCTTTCTACAGCGACCGAAATTCCCCTGCCGCCGAAACGCAGCGTCGTTCTCACTGGACGCGCCCCGCGCCGCCGAATTTGCCATCTACTACGGGGCGAACGCGGGATGGATGCGCTGTCACCCGGTCGTTGTCGCGGCTCACAAACGCCACTACGCTATCCGGTGGTGTATACTTCGATGATTCTCGTACGCAGGAAGCAATAAAAGACAGTACTGCTTACTTTTAGATGCGGAGCATCTTATACTCGCGCCTTGTAGTGCGCCGTCCGCGCCGTCCGCACCGCTTCTCGAACATTCGACAGCTGACGCGCGCGCATGCGCCGTCGCGCCGTCGCCCACTCTTCCACCATCTGTGCATCCCTTCCTCCTCTACACACCGCGCGCGCTTCACTCCTCCACCATCTGTGCACCCTTCCTCCTCTACACACCGCGTTCGACATCTACAATTCTCCTGATTCTCCAGTGGACGCGCATGTGGCGTCGCGCTTCGAGAACATTCAACAGCTGACAGTGCATGCGCCGTCGTGCTGTATATATACTCAAGGTCGGCGCTCGCTCGCTCAGTTGCCGCTCGTAGGTTGGTTTGTACGGCGCGTCGACGTCCAAGGTCGCGGTGAAATGAATTCCAACGAATCCACAAACACAATGATCTACGTCCCTTCGACCAGCGCCGCCCTTTCGCATACGTGTGTACGTGTTCACTCATTTAACACCCCCTCCTACAACCACGTCAACCAATTTAGCCATCGACCCAAGTAAGTCGCAATTTAACACCCCATTTCACAACCACGTTAACCAATTTAGCCATCGACCCAAGTAAGTCGCACTTTAACACCCCGTTAACCAATTATATGGTCCGCATCCTCCTCAGTGTTCCCCCGAGGGAAGCTGCGGGCAATTTTTTTTCTGTCAAGTGGCTGTCTTGTATTGCACGAAGAGCAGAAAAACCCCCGACGCCAGAGGCGTTGGTGGGTTCGTTTTGCTCTGCAAGACCACAACAAGCTCTGTCGCGCCAACAGCAAGCTCGGTCACCTCTTTCACGAAATACGGAAGCGAAGTAGGCACACAGTAGTTTAAACTCCCATCGGTTTCAACATTCAGTTACGTGCACTGCGGCATAACAAGTGAGTAAGGCTTGGCCGTCATTTTTCAAAATTCCTTGACTAGCGCTCCTAATGGTCCGCGGTGACCGATTCAGCGGCAGACACCGCAAAAATCGGTCCGAGAGCAATCGGCGCGGAGAGGGCCCTTTCGGCGGATCTCGCCGCCGCCGAACCGGATTCGGAGCACTTTCGGCGGCCGGAATGCTCAGTGTGAACGCGGCCTAAGGCTCTGCTTAAGACAGTAACGGGGCTCCCCGATCTGGTGGACGATGTCGGTGATAATGAGGGTAATGGAAGGTTTCGTCAACTAGAGTGCCCTATTGTCAACGATGACTGTCGGCAGTGCCATTTACAGTAACAGATGATGTGGTACGCAATGTCCAGCTTCGAAAAATCTAGGTAGAACTTGGCAGAGAAGCCGCCGAATTCGAGGTGAATTATTCAGGGGACAGAAGCTCGGACAAATGCGGCTAAAGAGGGCTATCATCTCGTGGTTTATGACAGCAATGTCATGGGAATTGCACCATTCATAAACTACCCACCAACATTGTCTGCGAACAGCCATTTACATCATTATACGTTGTTAGTCAATGAGGCAGCTCAAGAAAAACTGATTCACAGCTGCAATATAGTAGTGGTCGCACGACCATTTGTGACTATAGCGATCAAAAAGAGACTCAACACGACTCAACGCGACTCAACGTGACTCAACGCGACTTATGTTTCCCCTGCGTGTGACCCGACCCCACGTCACACGCAATTTTCGTCAGCTCGTACTGCTATCGACTGGTTAAATAGGCTGACGTCCTATTGCAGGGCAGGCTCAAGTTTGCGCAGCGCCGTTCACTGCCCTAGCGGAAAGAGGGCAAAGCTCCGGTCGCTCCGATGGGCCGTGCTTGCTCGGTTTTCCCATAGCGAGCACGGAAAGCGTGTTCCTTGGAGCGCTTATCGCGCATTTCGTACGCTATATGGGCAGCGCTCCTTCGTCATTCTGGAAAGCAGGCACGCACTACTGCTGCATTGTGAGCTCCTACAAAAGTTTAAACTGTCCGTCAAGTTCTACCATTTCCAACGCAAGCAGTGTGAGGAGCAAAGGCGTCAAGAGTGGATTATGGCAGTTCGCCGATACCCCGTGGTCTCA